CCCCACTTTAGATACTGAAAGAAATTTGCATTCAAATTTTTAGAATTACATCATCTTGGAGAAACAATTTATTCTGTGTTTTTTTAGCTCCGCTGTCGACTTTGTCGAGCGGAGCTTATCATATGAGTGATTGTCCGTCGTTGCCGTCGTCCGTGTCAATGTTTTACTTTTTCGACTTCTTCTTGAAAACTACAAGCCTGAATGCTTTGATACTTGGTGTATATGTACCTTGGGTAGACCTCTCTCAGATTTGTTCATTTCATGATGATATCTTCAATTCTCTAATTTTGGTGAATATTTTTGTCATTTTTAGTAAAAAGTGATATTTTCGACTTCTTGTTGAAAACCGCAAGTGCAATTGCTTTGATATTACATATATAGGTACTTCATGTAGACCTTTCTCAGATTTGTTCGTTTCGTGATGATATCTTCGATTCTATAAATTTGGTGAATATTTTTGTCATTTTTGGTAAAAAGTGATATTTTCGACTTCTTGTTGAAAACCGCAAGTCCAATTGCTTTGATATTTACATATATAGGTACTACATGTCGACCTCTCTCAGATTTGTTCATTTTGTAATGATATCTTCAATTCTCTAATTTTGGTGAATATTTTTGTAATTTTTGGTAAAAAGTGATATTTTCGACCTCTTGTTGAAAACCGCAAGTCCAATTGCTTTGATATTACATATATAGGTACTACATGTGGACCTCTCTCAGATTTGTTCATTTTGTAATGATATCTTTAATTCTCTAATTTTGGTGAATATTTTTGTAATTTTTGGTAAAAAGTGATATTTTCGACTTCTTGTTGAAAACTGCAATTGCTTTGATATTACATATATAGGTACTACATGTGGACCTCTCTCAGATTTGTTCATTTCATGATGATATCTTTAATTCTCTAATTTTGATGAATATTTTTGTAATTTTTGGTAAAAAGTGATATTTTCGACTTCTTGTTGAAAACCGCAAGTCCAATTGCTTTGATATATTATACATATAGGTACTACATGTGGACCTCTCTCAGATTTGTTCATTTTCTAATGATATCTTCTGTTCTTTAATTGCCATGTGCATTGCTAACAGCGGAGCTATCTCAGCCGACAGGCTGCTTGTTTATTATTCTGGTATCATTACAGCTACACTTTATCCAGTGATTTCAGTAACTATTTATATGGGAGGTGCAGAGATTATTATACACTGACATGCATATCAGCTACCACAGAGAAGTAATGGTTGATGTGAAAAATCAGCCATTCAATATTAGAATTTGAGTTTATTGAGTTAAATTCATTTATCAAATAAAAAAAACCCACATGTATGCCATGTTGAGTACAACTGAAAATAATAGTTCACATTTTTAGTTCCTGTTCGAACATAGTCTGAAAACATGGACTTATATTTTGACGTCTGTGCATACATGTGTCCATGGTGCCTCCACTTGTATCTTGAACATGCCTGGTCTTATCACATTCAACAACACAAATACATCATAAATATTGGAATACATATGCATGCACATTTATTTCATGATCTAATTAAAAATGCCATTTCAGACTGGATCTTGGTTGTGTATGGATTGATTTTGTTCAGACTTGGTAATACATTGAACAGATTGGATTCAAAACGGCTGACAGGTGGCCATTTATTTTAAGGAATGCTGTACCACAGCCATATCTGACATGCCTAAACCAATAATGTTCAAACTTTATATATATATTTATGTCATACATCATGCAATACATAATGCACATGTATTCCATGGACAATTAAATTCAAAATTGCTGAATAGTGGCCACTGTGAAACCTGGCACCCTGATGCATGTCTGTTTTTTTCAGATCCAACTCAAAATGGCCGACTGGTGGCTATTTTGTTTAAGTGAATGCAGTTTTGGAGCAAAATCTCTGACACTCTGACTGTTCGTTTTCTAACTTGATATATTTTGTAAACTTGAGAATTCATTGGGACTATGTAATGCACATACGTGCAAACTGGATATAGGACATTTGTCACTCCGTGATTCTATTTTCTTCGTTCACCACATGAGTGTTCTTGATAAACCTTCTTTGATTTTTATCTGAGTTGAAGAATGTCACAGTGAGTAGAAGAATACTGATGGCACTTATTTATTGCGAATCTGACTGATTTTTCGATTAAGTGATATAAACAAGTTCCCACATGTCTTGTTAATCAATCTGAGATAAAAAAATAACCAAACTACAAAAATATTTGTTGATTTCCTAATTGGAGCAGCTACAATGTACACATATTCTGAAGCATTGGAGAGTGTGGTTAGATTGTATATTTGTGAACTCTGTACCATGTACTGTATGTAATATTTCTTGGGACTTGTTGCATAAGTGATAATACTATTGTCATCATGTATTTTTACACTCCATTTATAATATTGAGTTATATGGTTGTTTGTATTCTAATAATAAAACGTTGTAAGTTTATAAACCATGAAATAAATAATAGTCCAGCTTCCACAGTTAAAAGCCGTACATCACAAAATAAAAACAATGTAGACAACAAAGTAATGTGCCCCTGCTCAGCTTAATGTGTTTTTGTTTTGTTTTTTAAATTTCTTCAGTTATTTATTGACTAATTAAATGTTGTTTCCATCAAAATTGACAATCATGTAGCTTTGAAAAGAATTAAAACCGAGATGAAAAGCGATTTTGGATTCCATGTCTTAGAGTTTTGGTGTTGTTAATGTCACATTCATTCTTCAGTATTGGTGTGCAAGTACGTATATATCAACCCTATGTCACAACAAATTTAATTCCTAACATTCCCTTGTAATGAAATTGTACACACCGTACTGGATCTAGATCTAGTGTTGTATGTGGTATGACCTAAATAATGCATTTTACTAAAAAGTAACATTAAGAAATCAAAGTGAGAACTGCGTGTTCCAGGAAGGGTGGCTGTAAGCATCAACATACTAGTACGTCCATGCTGTAAGTTATCATTGTTTCTGCTGAAAATGTGACAATTATTCTTTTAGTTCTACCTCAAACCTCAAATTCTGTGCCCACAAGGAGTGGAATACAGTGTGGTTCTCAGCTTGCTGCTGGGTAGGGGTGATCCTGATCTATGCCAAACTTGCAGTAACTTTTCCAGACTTCAGGGAATAATTGGACCAATGGAGTCTACTAAAGTGCATAGGCTTATTGTAATCGAAGAAACAAAATGAAACTAGATGACAAACATCATAAAAAATAAACAGTAATCAGAGAAAATGGGTTTTATATGCAAAATATTTACAAAATATTTGCCGAAAATAACGGGATTTTAATTAGTAAATGGCTCGTTTCGCTAATTACAGATAATCAGAAATCTGTAATCAGCGAAACAAGTGTCCTACACGCACATTATTCACAATTGTCGGACAAAACTTGACCAGTATATTCACCTCTCAGTCATGATGTATATAACTACATAAAATATTTGTCGAAAATAACGGGATTTTATTTAGTAAATGGCTCTTTTCGCTAATTACAGATAATCGGAAATTTGTAATCAGCGATACAAGTGTTCTACATGTATATTACAGCCAAAACAAAGTCAGCTGGGATTTTCAGTTGTGAGACATGACAAAACAAATGCTGTCATTGATGGATTTCGAGAATAATTGCCGCCACAACCCATCCCCCCCCCCCCCACTTTTCCATGGCGCAGCAAACTCTGCTCATGACCGGAGACGTCGTTTTCGTTAATAACATGTGATTGCCATAATCGTGGTGGTGAACTGTTTAGCTGATCATATGAATATTCAATTCATATTTACCCCCAACTTATTTGAATATTTTGGAAATTTGAGACATTTTTCAAAAAATACTGTACAGGGATATGTCTGATGAAAATTAATAATACGCAATTCTCCAGCCAATACTAGAAATTATTGCTGATACTAATCATGTTTTTTTATCGGAATGTTGGATACTTGAACGTGTTGTAGACGTGCGTAATAGTACTGTCACGTGACATGTCTCCCGCCTTAGCCACATAACCGCCGCAGTCCGCTTCATGTATATACGATAACATTGAATGTTCAGTTTGATGATTGATAAACATATATTCTATGTGAAACTGTTGCTTTCTTGTTGTGTTAATACAAACATGATTTAAACTTTCCCTTCCGGTGTTTTTTACTTTGCGAACGTATTCAATATACAGAAATGGCACTTGTGTGTGCGTTTGTGTAAGTCAAAGAAGCTTGTGAAACATTAGGGTTGTAC